GGGGTACTTTTTTGGGACACCCTATATATGGTGGGAATATATAATCCTAAAGTCTTAATACTAACTCATTCATCGGTGTGTTTTGTTCCCATCGCATGTATCGCCCATCTCTTCTTTTAAGAAGTGGACCGACCTGTTCCAACACAATTTTTTCAGTCAAAGCATTGTATTCTGCATGTGTTATTATGCATTTGGGTTCAAGGCCTTCAAAAGTGTATTTTCTAATTGCTTCACCAACTTCCTTGCAGCATCGAAATTCCAATGAGCCTACCAAGTGTTGGTCACTACAATTGTCGCATGTGCACCTATAAATAAAATTTTTAAACTGTTAGTGCAAAGGCCATGGCACATGATCCCAAAAATACATTTTCATGGATCGTAAAGTGTGCAAAGGGAAGGTTGTTTTGGATATTAAAAGTCATAGTGGTACAATCTTGTTGATACGGTGTTAAAAATATTAAACTTACCAATCTTGTACAGATATTGTCCTTTCAAAACGACATTCTAAAACAATCTTTGCGATGTTGTCGGGGTTGTCATTCTGTGAGAGATTTTCAGACTCGCTGGCACTGCTATCATATTCAGACGCTAAAGGTTCATGTTGGTAAGGTTCTATCAAACCAATATCTACTTCTCCATTGCTTGAACTATTTTCAGCTGAATCGCTAACGTCGGTGGATGTTATGGAATTAGTGTCCGACTCAGAATACACAGATTACTTTGACGAAAACTTTGTCTAACTTTGGCTGTTCACCTAAACGCTTGTATAAAAACAATGCGCAAGTAATTTGATCCATACTGTGACGTCGCATGCGCATAACTTCCGGTTGACAAAAATTACCTCAACGAGGATACTTTTGAATGCAATTTTTTTTGTTTTCTTTTCAAAATTTGGGATTAAAAAATATATTTAAAAATTTATCAAATCATGAAATACAATAATCCATAAAAACATTGGAGGCCGTGGTGACATTTCATATACACTTTAATGTTAATCCAAAGACGGTGGGAGTAATTATTAAAGATATTTAGAATGAAAAGGTTAAAAGAATCACCTCAAATGGTTCGGGTCCTTTGCGATACATGCACTTACGAAAGCGTGAAATAATAAATTCTGACACCATTGTGATCACCAAACTTGACGAACATATTTTACAACCAATCGAATCACTAGTATCAGTGAGGGATGACGATTGGATGGTTGACAGTTGAAGTGTGAAAATCGTATTATCGACTTGGACTGACCTTGTTGGAAGGTTATCGAAATAATTGAAATACCTAACTGTTTATTAAGTATGCATGTGTCCAATTTTAACAAATACACCCATTATAGTGATTATAGGAGAAATCAAAATACATAGTTCACACCCCTCACTTAGTTCATCTTAGTTGTTGTAATTTGATTGAGAAGATTAATAAATGCAATAGGATCCAAATCCACCTTTGGGAACTACAGGCCGGTAGATAAACATCTTCGTTAACAGAGATTACATCAATCCATGAATCAAACGGTTGATTTATCCCCATCAAGTTGACGAAAGAGTAACAAGACGTTGCAGACTTTGCAGAACTTGGCCATAATGTTTGCATATTTGGAAGGGTGGCGTGGGAAAGACTACAGTTGTCAAAGAAATAAGGAAACGATTAACTGCAAATGGAATTAAAGTTCTATCATCAAGTGGGATATCGTGCATGGATTACAACTGTGGGGCTAAAACTGTCCACGCCCACTATGGCTTGCAAACTGCAGAGCTGCCAAATAGTTTCTTGATTGAACGTTCCCTTCGACAGCCGAATATACTCGAACGCAGTAATTTGGGAAGAGATTTCAATGTCCAGTGAATGTATTTATAGTTTAGTAAATCTTCAACACACTGTCTTGAAAAATAACCATTCTTTTTAGGTGTTCAAATCATTTTAGTAGGTCCATTCGATTTAGAAAAAATGATATATTCTTTGGAGTTGTTTGAAAAGGCGTTCAAACATCGATTTAAACTGACAATGATTAGGCATTAAGTGGGTGTAGAGTCACAGTTGAAAGCCGCATTAGATCAAATACAAATGGGACAATGCAATGATGCAACAGAGGAATATCTCCAAGGTTTATCGGAAGAACCTATCTCACATTGCAACTCAGATGAGCCTCCTGACCTGTTCATATCTTTTTCAAGAGATTGCCTGTCAGCGTTCATGATTTAGATGTTCTAGCAAAATTACCATGAGACCTAATGATGTTTGAGAGCAGCGACACGGGTACTGTGCAATGTCTGGAAACCAAAGTTCTTAAGATTGTCAGTTTAAAGAAAGGGCACAATGTAATGCTGACCTATAACCTTGACTCACAACTTAAAAACGGCTCTTGAGGAAAGTTTGTTGGAGCAGAAAATGATTGCCTGGTTGTAAACCTATCGCAAATTGGAAATGTCGACAATTCTAAATGAACATGGTATGTGTACGATAGATATGGGACAAAAAAAGCCAGCAGAACCCAATTTCCCATTGCATTGAGTTATGCAATTACTGTTCATAAGGCGCAAGGTATGCCCTGCCAAGTGTTGTGATTCATTGTTCCCAAGAGTTTGTTCCAGGTCAGACATATGTCGCACTGTCACACGCTACAAAAAAGTCATCCCTTCAAGTTATTGGATTTCATCGTCGGTTCTTATTGCCACCACCTAGTGAGTTAAACTGTCTTGATACTCAAGACTCCTGAGTTCCGCACTTTGATCACACCTGCTGCAAGAATGTTGTTCTCAAACTCAGTTCTTTCAGACAAAAAACGACAATGAAATTCTGTATGGTTGCAAAGATGATACGCTTAGTGATGCAATGGACGAGGACTTCGTAGCCTGCCCAAGAAAGGCTTTTAAGGCAAATGAAGGGAGCTCTGTAGATCTGGAGGATGTCCTATTATGTATGGTGAATTATAGCGACGAATTGTCCCGACCTCCCACAATGTTTCTGAAGGACATCGTAAATGATTCATCCCCCGATTCCTTTAGTCAATCCCTTTGATCGGCAGCATGTTACGCTCTTGCTCATATAGACCTATTTGCCTACTAAGTCGAATATTTTGGTTGTTTGAGGATCACCTGTCTGAAAATTGTGACTATTTGCACGTTACAAACAGATAATTCACTTGGGCTACAGGGAAAGTTCATCAATTGTTCCTCACTCAAGAATATAGAAGTGATGTTGTCAGTGCTTTTTGTCTCAGAAAGTGGATTGAAATCAATGACGGACAAAGAATTTGTCTGCATCCCTCCTACATATTTACCAGCTGTTTGTGGGAAAACTGGTCAAGCTAACCTGTGAACGAGAAGCAGAAGAATCAGTGGAGTTCGACGTGCAAGCAATGGGCGCAGAAGATCGAGGGAAAGTCAGGTATATTGGTGGCTGGACAATAAAGAAATGCCTTGATAAGTATTGATCCTATGTCGTAAGAAAAAGTTTTCAACATCACCAGCCGTTCACGCAAAAATAAATGTTGAAATGAAGAAAATCACATTATTGGAAAACCATGTTGTTGTCCAAAATGAATTCCTTCAAACCACCTCAAGCAACATAGAAACGCTCAGTGCAATCAAAGTGCGACAATGTAAAGAGCGAGGACTGTTGCACATAAGTGACAAAACGTACGAATTCTTCTTGGCACTTGAACAGAAGTGAGTAGATCGAATTAACACGAACATGCTTGCTGCTCTTCAGAATGATTTGATCGATGACACATTAGCAAAGATACTAAATTATGCCCATTTGCGAAGAATGTTTCAAAATGTATTTGCCATTGAAGACGATAACAAGATGAGAATGATAAAAATGAAATTGACACATGTCAAAGTTCTCTGGTGTCTTAATAATGAAAATGTCAGAATAGTATAAAACGTAAAATATTAAGGGATATAATTTATATTTTTTACAAATATTCTGATTCGTAGGACCTAGTATATCTAATATACAAAGATGTGTAAGAAAGGTATATCAAGATAGGTGCGGGTCAGTTCTTGCGAAGAGATTTCCAAATAAAGAAAACAATAGCGCATCGCAAAGCTGTCCTGGAAAGAAGAAAAAAAGCTTGGCAAAAGCGAACAAAAGTTAATGTTTCCGAGATCAAACAAGACTGAAGTCCTGGCAAGGAAGTCATTGTCCCTTGCTCTCCAATTAATGCTCGTAAAACTCTCTTCGTCTGTTTAATCATAGCTTTAAAAAATCCACCTTGGTGTGGACTCAGCGGGGTGTTAAACTTTCACTTTACTTTGTGCACCATCGCAAATTCTTCAATTATTTTCTTGCATTCTTGGAGTAGCTTCTTCAACTCATGTTTGCACCCTACGAACGAGGTTTCATTATCTGAGATTATAATGCTGGGCTAACCGTGGTGGGCTGCAAATCATCTCAAGGTGTGAAGGAAAGCTTTGGTTGACAAATCCTCAATGATTTCGAGATGTATCGCACGAACTGTTGCACACGTGAAGAGTGCTCCCCAAGCTTTAATTTTCTTGTTGCGACCATACATCAGGAAAAATGGACCAAACAAATCGACACCTGTTGCAGAAAACAGGGGCGAAAAGACCTAAAGTCTTTCTAGTGGAAGGTCTGCCATTAACGTGGTATGAGGGTATTGTTGGAGCTTATGGCAGGTCACACACTTCGTGACAATTTCTTTCACTAGGTTCCTTCCTCGTGGTATCCGGAACTTCCGTTTTTTGTTTGTCTAACCCCTCCCCCTGCCCTATTTTACTTTCATTTATTTATGTTCCACTATGTTTCTAAGTAAATATTACCAATTATTTCTTTCTATAGTTTTGCAATTCTGACGGATGTGAAAGCCATGTTAACTGTTGGATCAAACTACTGTAAATGGTTGTTACAGTTAAAATATAATCTGAATATATTGCATTGCATGTAATGGATGGGACCTTCTGGATTAACAGAAATGTATTCCTATTGAGACAAAATGCTGATTTACAAGATTGTATGTATATATTACATTGTATGCAATGGATGGAATCTGCCATGTATTATTAAATATTGCATATCCGTATATATACACCCTAACAAAGGAGCTACTTGTTCAAATACAATATACAAAGGAGGAGAAACCACTTGCTGTATTCCAACTTGTGATAGCAACACTTTCATTCTATCAAATCCCAAAAGAGAAGAAGCTTGAAAAGAAATGGTTGCATTGGATTGGTAGATCTGGTTTCATTCCAAACAAGTATCACAGAGTTTGTTCAAAACACTTTGTGGGTGGCAAGAAGACCTGCCTTAACAACACTCCGTGTTTAGTACAAAAACTGTTGATGCCCAAACAACCAAACCCTAGAACCACATCAAAATGTAGGGACAGGAAAGCAATACCAAAAAGGAAAACTGATGAGATACAAGGGGAGTCAAAGCTGAAGGATGTTAGAATTTTAGAACTTGAACAGTTAGTTAAGAAATTAAAGCAGGAAAAGGAAGAGCAACAAGAGGAGATATTGGAACTAAAGAAGAAAGTGGAACAATGTAGTTTTTCTATAAATAAGTTTAAAAGTAGTGATAATGACTTTGAATTTTATACTGGCTTTGGAAGTTACAAAATATTTAAAGCATTTTACAACTATCTTTGCCCATAGAGCATGCGAGAGGTTGCATTATATTGGATCGCACAATGCAACAGATGATATGGAGAGACAGCTGGAGAAGGAGAAGTGTGGTCAAAAAAGAATATTAACACCTGAGGAAGAGCTATTTTTGTGTCTTGCGAGACTTCGATTAGGCTTGTTAGAGAAAAATTTGTCTGACGGATTCTATGTATCAATATCACAAGTATCACAAATTTGGGTAACTTGGCTGGATTTCCTTTACAGATACTTACGCTCCATCCCTATTTGGCCTTCACAGGAGTATGTTAGAAGTACAATGCCAGAAAACATAAAAGACAATTATCCCAAAACCAGAGTTATAGTTGATTGTACAGAACTATTTATTGACACTCCATCTCAACCACGAAGCCAAAGTGCTACATTCTCAACTTACAAGAATCATAACACTGGCAAGGGTCTAGTTGGCATTTCTTTATGAGGTGACTTAACATTTGTCTCAGAGTTGTATGCTGGGAATACATCAGATAAACAATTGACACAGGACTGTGGAACTTTAGATCTTCTTGAAGAGGGTGATGAGATAATGGCAGACAGGGGCTTTGAAATTGAGGATTGTTTACCCCATGGTGTTTCCTTAAACATACCACCTTTTCTTGGTGACCAGTTACAGTTTTGTCAAGCTGATGAAGTTAAAACTCAAAGAATAGCAAAGCATCAAATCCATGTAGAAAGAGCTATACAGCGAATTAAAACCTTCGGCATTCTGAAACACGACTTGCCGATATCAATGGCAGCTGATTTTAACAAGATTTGGGTTGTTTGCGCATATCTAACCTTGTTTTTCAGACCATTAATTCGGGAACATGAGGAATGAACATATTATTCAAGTTGTTTAATACAAATAATTTTTTACTATTAATTAACAAGTACATTTGTTTTTTCCAAGAATTGAAACTATTAACTATGTTTCAGAGAACACATGTTATTATGGTACTACTGCACAAGATTCATTTAAGATTAGGTAAAGTCCGTTCTGCGCATATATTCCGCGCATCAACACATTCCATCAGTGGGGGAGCAACATTTGGAATGTTAATGATATGCAATATTAGCGCGTTTATTACAAACGGCAGTTCGGGAGCACAATTATTTTATTTTATGTCGCAAGGCGAAGAGGCTCGAATTGCGAGTCACGACGATGACTTATCTTATCATAAGGCTGCTAGAAAAAAGCAATATTATGCTAAAAGGAATGCTCCAAGAATTTATTTCTTGAATGAGGCCCGAAATGGCGAGGCTATTTGTTGTCGCTACAGACGCTACCTCGCTTGGCCTACAATTACAAATATATAACGTTTTAAATAACAGCCGGTTTATTTACAAGGTTCGCTTTATATTTTCTTCAAAATATAACAATATTTTCTTCAAAATATAATATAAAATAAGCGTATTCATCACAGATTACAGCCAGTCGAGCGAGAAGAAAATAGGAAAATTATAACGACGCATAAGTCATGTAAAGATTATATAATCAACGTAAACAAACATTGTTATGCGCAGAATATATGCTCAGAACGGACTTTACATCATCTTTAAATATTTAAAATAAAATGCAGTTAGTTCAGGTAAAGCAGTCTCTTTGCATTCTACTTTACTTGGTTTGTCACTTCAAGCCTCTACAATGGTCTTCCCAGACTTGGACGCAGGTCATTTCAGTTCCACAGCTCCATACAATGACACTTCTCTTGCATCTGAAACTAAAGCATCTGGACTTACTCCCAACCATGGCCACCTTGGATTTACCACCAAACCACCAGCTGCACAAATCTCTACATGTTCTTTGATATTGTCCTTATATCGATGATACCTCATGAGAGCAGTATGTTCATTATCAATTCCCCATTGGCAGCTGGCATTATTTGTAGCTGTGGGTTTTGTGATGCTCTTAATATAACTGTTTGGATAAATTGACTTCCTTCTCTTGATTACAGTACCGAACATTGATGTTAACCTACACTTTCTTTGGTCAAACCACTCTCTGCATTCATTTTGTTTCCTTGTATTTTTTTCAATCTCTTGACATCCCTCATTGTTCACTTTTAACCTATCATTCACAAATTTCAAACAATTTTCATCTTCGGGAATATATGCATAATCTAAAGCCATGTCCAATTTTTCTAAAATGCTTGATCTAATTTCTGTTGTCTCCAGCTTGTCTCCGATTTCCTCTGCCCTCGTAATTCTCTGTCTTGATAGTAACTCTTCCGCATTAAAGTGTATATGCAATGAAAATTTTGATTTCGGGTTTTTTGTATTTTCTGAAAATTTGTTCTTTTCCGATCATAAAGATACCAACATTGTCGACAAATTCGGACTAGAAGTAAGAAAAATTTAGGTTTAAAGTTGGGCTATGAAAATAAAAACTGTTGAAATTCCTCGCGCGGCCAAAAGGTCGTGATGACGTATGCAGTGTGACACAGTGCGCTCTTCCTATTTAGAAATGCTATAAACAACTATAAACATTGCAGCGTCTACCACGTAAAATCGCAATATTTTTGCAATTTAATGAGCTCCCAAAGAAATATGCGTCTTGTAGATGCAGTGTATTGCTCAAGTGAAGAGAATCATATCAAAATACATCAATTTTTACTTTTTAGTCGCTTTATAAGCTGCCGCATATTAGTATAAATTGACGCTGGCAGTTGTACTTCCTTTCACTAAATTCTAGCTTTCTAACTAGCTACATTTGAACTGTAGGTATTTTCGTTGTGCATCTACTTGAACAGTTTTTATATTCATAATCCGTAATTAATATTGGCGGATGGACTTCATTTCGTTGATTCAACAAACTTTTTATACTATATGTTATATTGTGAACCTAGGTAGATTTATAGCCCGTTTGTCTGACGTTTCAGTCTTTTGACCTGTCCTGTTTTCGTCTATTTGTGGTGATTAGATGTGCTGTATTGGTATCCTGTTTACGCGTAATTTATTCCTTAGTCACAAATCGTGGTTGCCGTGCCAATATAGGTATATTAGTATACTTATACTAAAAATTTAGCCGGTTGCAGAGAAGACAAACAGAAATTTAATTCCTTATCACTAATGAAATCTTATATGCTTTGCAACAGGCGTGGATAGGCCATGTACAATAACAGCATTTGCATAGAAGCGAGATAGTTTTGATTTATACTGTTTCTTACTATGACAAAACGAGCGAGAAAAATTGATATATGCCATACGTAGGCCAAAGAACCTCAGTTCATCTGTCATATTTAACCACATAAAGCGCCAAGGTGGATTGCGTGTTATACGCATCAATCTTTTGGCGTGTTTGTTTTCGTTTAAAATACCCTACATACATCATTTACCTTTCTTATGGGGTATGGGGGACGAGGGTTAAAAGAAAATTTTCTTTGCCCCACGTCGCCCCATACCCCATAAGGAAGGTAAACAATGCTCTGCTAGCAGGGTACTGTTTGGTCTCCCTCGTAATCGCCTATCACTAATCAGCTGTACAACAGACGATAGGGCTGTACAACAGACGACTGTTCAGGCGTTCAGCAACGTCTTCGCTATCTGTTGACTGTTCTGTATCTGTCTGTGATTCAAAGCTTTCGTTATCCGACATTTCGCACAAATGCAACAAAAAAGACAAGCCGCTGTCTCACGATCAATGTTTTGTTGTTTTCTTATAGCCGAGCTTTATTGCTGTGTCACACTGCATATATCACTAGTTCGAAACTCTCGGTACCAGTCTTTCAACAGTTTATGATTGAAAAAACGCGTAATTCTTGTATGTTTTAGGCCGTTTTGAAGACTTTAGCAACGCTTTTACAACAAAAAAATATTTTTACCGGGTCAAGGGCACTAAAGTCTTTCGGAATTTCACAATTTTAATTTTTTCATTTTTCCTTGCATATACACTTTAAATTCACAAGGTTTGCAACATGTGTCACCTAGAACACCAATCAAATTACATCTGCTACCCGCCTCTTCCAATCCTGCTTTCAGCTCTTCCAGATCATCTTTTACCACTTTCTCTTTTGTTGCCATACATCCTTCTCTTTTGCCTACTAATACTGATCTTTTTCGTCCTTTCCTGTCTTTCTCATATGTGTCCAGTGGGAATGTTAAGTCCTCAAAAAGAAGAGCTTGTTGTGTAGACCTTGCTTGTCTTCGGCACGTGCCATTGTTGCAGTTGCTGAGTCCACGTCTTGTCATCTGGTATGTCTGAAAGGCCTAGTTCTATATAATCCAAGAGCTGAAACAAAGTAGCTGCTACATGTTTGCAATGACCAATCACACCAGCAGGGCAGCAACATTTTGCATATACTACATCGCCTGAATTTTGGTTGAGGTGTGCATTGACAAGATATTGTTTTTTCTTCATTTCAGCCATAACATTAAACCACACAAGAAAATATACTGTCTCATCACCTTTTCGAACATTTGGCTTTACTTTAAACTGCCTTGGATAGCCTGCTTTATATAATTTATATCCACTTTTTTTGTGTTTCATTGCTCCAACAGGCTGTCCATCAGGTGTTTTGTCTCCATCTAATACCAAATGCTCTTCCAATTTTTTGTATGAAAATTCAGGGATAAAATTTAAACTTTTTGTGCAACCACTTGTCATTGCTGCCAAATCAACCTCCATTGAAGTTCCTGGCTCATCATGCATTATAAATTATACTTTAAGTTTAAACAATTTTATATTCTAACTAAGTTACTAATTACAAATTTAGTACTAGGACCTGCCTTAGTATTTAGTATTTAATTATAACATTTAAAAAATTGCACTAACTAATAATATATGTCAGTTTATAGCTATCAAACTATGTATAAGTTTAATTCGTTTTACCTAAATTCTAGCTAAAAATATTATTTTAAATTAATCCCAATTCAATATACTATATAATTTAAAACCTACTTGTTTAATTTATACTAAAATGATATGAGCCGACCATAACAAAAGAAGCAGAAAACAAACAACAGCGGAGACAATAAACTTTCTTATTTTTGTATATTTCACAGAGTGACAGAGCTGAAGCGGAAATTTTGTTTTGTTCCCGCCAAAGAAATATAAAGTATCTAAAGCAAACGTCGTCTTTGCAGCCATGCTGATCGAACGATCTACAAACATTTACAACTTCAAATGTTTTGGATTCAACAAGCAAAAAAATCCATGCAAAACACTCGATCGCTGTGTAAATAGGATCTGTGCGATCTAGCAACGACACATCAACAATTTTTGTTAAAATCGTGAGCAGTAAGTTATCCGTTAAGCTTACTCACCTTAAAACATTGGAAAATACCCTCCCCTTCGAATAATTTTGTGAAGCAAATCCCCGTAGCTTGCATAGTTCTATACATATTTTCCCGCTCATTTTTGCTTCGATTCCACTCTACTTTGCACGAAATATAGTTTATAGTATATAAAAGCCAATTTTTGTTTCAAAATTAGTAAATGCTACGAAAAAAGTATATAAAAGAATCGTTCTTTCTCGCAAGCAAAATGAACTCCTCGCAGCGGCCATTTCCCTTGCAAGTGAAAGGTTACAACATTTCCCATGATGCTTTGCTATAATGCAAATTGCCTATTAAAGCATATTACTCGCCTGTGATATTTCGTTGTTTTCTGAATCATTTTTTTTCTATTATCTTTTAACCGTTATATATAAACCACAAATGTTTTAGTTGTCTTTTCTAGTAGTTTTTAAGTCATGATGGACAACAAACTTGAGAAATAGCGATTTTTCAGCAATATTTATACCTATCAGGAGGAGAACTCATCATAAGCGTAATTTCGTCATGATTTGTCACTGAACAAGTGCCGTAAATAGAGTAATGACCCCCCTGCCAATATTAAAG